AAGAAGAGAGAGAGAGACAGACAGAGAAAGAGAGAGAGAGCGCTTCACTCCCCAAATGCCTGCAACAGTAGGGACTGAGTCAGACTAAAGCTGGTAGCCAAGAACTCCCTCCAGTCTCCCATGTGGGCGGCAGGAATCCAATTACTTGAGCCATTACCATTGCCTCCCAGGGTCTGCATTGGCGGGAAATGACAGCCTTAGCTGGGAATTGAACTCTGGTACTAGAATGTGGGATGCAGATGCCTTAACCAGTAGGATGAGTGCTCAGTCCGGTTATTCCATTTCAACATGAGCTTTAGTAGGGACATTCAAATCACAGGCCTTGGGAATCCCTGGATTCTATACTTAGGATGCCTTTGTTTGTATAACAACATTATCTCAAACACTTGGTTCTGCTATCCCATTTTGCCTCAGCCAAGTTTCCTTACTAGAAATTCTAAATGTGGTGAGGTTATGGACTTGAACTTACCCATCCTTGTCAGCACTTGACTCCAAACTGGGCCCATTGCCAAAGTTGAAGGATTATTTGTTGGATGCAGGAATGAATAAGATACTTCACTATTTGAAAAAGAACTTTTCAGTGCTATTTCTTTTTATTATTATTATTATTATTATTTTTAACAGGCAGAGTGGACAGTGAGAGAGAGAGAGACAGAGAGAAATGTCTTCCTTTGCCATTGGTTCACCCTCAAATGGCCGCCATGGCCGGTGCATCGCACTGATCCAAAGCCAGGAGCCAGATGCTTCTCCTGGTCTCCCATGCGGGTACAGGGCCCAAGGACCTGGGTCATCCTCCACTGCACTCCCAGGCCACAGCAGAGAGCTGGCCTGGAAGAGGGGCAAATGGGACAGAATCCGGTGCCCCAACCAGGACTAGAACCCGGTGTGCCTGCGCCACAGGGGGAGGATTAGCCTATTGAGCCACAGCGCCGGCCCAGTGCTATTTCTTATGTAAATACATCCCTTTAATGGAACTTCTTTAGGCCTTGCATAAAAGCCTTACCTGAAGGCCATTTATGCTTCTAGTAAATTCTTAGACAGTCATGAGAGTCCCATTAATACTTGTAGAAACCACAACTTTAACTCAAGTAGCACCAGTGGGTGTACTCTGATCTCAGGCGGCTTCGGCCCAGGACCTGCGCTGACCCAGTGTCTGGGCTAGCAGGATGGTCTGAGGCTGTGTGGCCAAGGACAGTGCTGTGTCTGGCCTGCAGCACCTACTTCCCCATGGAAGCTGCTCCTCCCCCTTCAATGTGGTGGGAAAGGAACTCATTGTTTTCCACCTCCCTGGTAGACCTGTGACACCTGCCAGGCCAATCAGAACCTTCTCTGATTTTAAAAGCTGAGAGCTGAAGGAAAGAGATTGTTTTATTTTTAATTTTCATTAATTAATTTGATTTCTCTGAAGAAGAGAGAGGAGAGATCTTCCATCTTCTGGTCCACTCCTCAAATGCCTGTAATGGGCTGGTCCAGGCTGAAGTCAGGAGCCAGGAACTCAATCTGGGTCTCCCTAATAGGCGTCAAGGACCCAACTGCTTGAGCCATCACCTGCTGCCTCGCAGGGTGTGCGGTAGCAGGAAAGCTGGAATCACAAGCAGTGCTGGGACTCAAACCCAGGCGCTCTGAGAAAGGATGACAACCACTGCACCTAACACCTGTCTCTGGCAAAGGGGCTTCTTCCTTCCAGAGCATGGAATTAAGAGGATATGACTGCAGGGCAGCTGTCAGCCACTTTCCCTGTCACACGGGGAAAATCTAAACAGGGAAGGGGGAGGACTCAGCCAAGACTGTGAATGGAGAGAGAGGTAAGATCCGGGTTTGAGAACTGGATCCACATGGCTCTCTCTCTTCCTGTCTCCTGACCTCTGTTTCTGTCTCTCTCTCTGATATGCTCTCCTTCTCTCTCTTTTCCTTCTTCGCCTCCTCCCTCCAGTCTGTCGTGTTTCCCCTAATAAACTCTTTCCCTTACTCCAGCGTTTGGTGTGTTTTGTGGTGGCCTTACAACTTGTACTTCAGGCTGCCCCCACCACTTGCATGTCCCAGCTAGGAGAGCCAACATGGGCCCTTTTTCCTTAGCTATTTTGGGTTTCTGTCAGTTGCTGTGGGGCGTTCTGACTAGTTCAGCAATCCTGGAGGAAAATGTTCAATTTCCTATCACACCTATAGGAACCAGTAGCAGCAGCTCAGCCAGAGAAAGAAGCAGGTATGTGGGGCTCTGCTTGTACTGGGTGCCTTGGCAGAGGTAGTCAGCTGTCCACCCAAATCCAGACCCTCCCTTCCATTGCATGGCACTGTCACCGCAGGGCAGCCCTGTACTGCACACTGTTTTGCCTGCCCGCATGCATGTGGGTGGGGGTGCGTGAGAGGCCGTCACTGATAGGATGAGAGTGGAAGTAATGTGTGTCTTGGCCAGGCTGGGAGGCAGCTCAGCAGCAGGAGCCTGTCTGCCTCCTTTCTGCTTCTCTCCAGCTGGGTGAAGAGGGTTCTGCAGAGGCACAGCTAGAAGAGAGAGAGAGAGAGAGAGAGAGAGAGAGAGAGAGAGAGGTCTTCTACCTGTTCTATTTGTTGGTTCACTCCCCAGATGCCTACAACAGCTCAGGCTGGGCCAGGCTAAAGCCAGGAGCTGGGAACTCAATCCAGGTCTCACACATAGGTGTCATCACCTGCTCCTCCCAGGGTGTGAATTAGCAGGAAGCTGGAAGTGGGAGCAGAGCTGGGACTGGAATGCAGGCACTTCACTGTGGGATGTGGGCATCGCAAGAGGTTCTGAACTGCTGGGTCAAACACTCACTCTCCTCTTGTTGAAAGTTGACTACCATTGTGGTAGAGCTGGGAGGAGGGCCTTTTTATTATTATTATTTTTGACAGGCAGAGTGGACAGTGAGAGAGAGAGAGAGAGAGAGAAAGAGAGAAAGGTCTTCCTTTTGCCATTGGTTCACCCTCCAATGGCCGGTGCATCGCGCTGATCCGAAGCCAGGAGCCAGGTGCTTCTCCTGGTCTCCCATGCGGGTGCAGGGCCCAAGCGGAGGAGGGCCTTTAAGAGGAGGTTAGGGGCCTGCGCTGTGGTGCACTAGGTTAATCCATGGCCAGTGCCGTGGCTCAATAGGCTAATCCTCCGCCTTGCAGCACCGGCACACCGGGTTCTAGTCCCGGTCGGGGCGCCGGATTCTGTCCCAGTTGCCCCTCTTCCAGGCCAGCTCTCTGCTGTGGCCCGGGAGTGCAGTGGAGGATGGCCCAGGTCCTTGGGCCCTGCACCCGCATGAGAGACCAGGAGAAGCACCTGGCTCCTGGCTTCAGATCAGCGCGATGCGCCGGCCGCGGTGGCCATTAGAGGGTGAACCAACGGCAAAAGGAAGACCTTTCTCTCTCTCTTTCTCTCTCTCTCTCTCTCACTACCTGTGGGGAGCAACCCGGACTAGACTGAGTTACTGGAATTAAGACTTATTCTATGCATCTGCTCTCCCACAATATGGCGCTGGGAGAGGAGAAAACAGCTTCTACGCAGCTGCCTCCAGTTCAACCAATAAACTGTAGGACCTGCTCCTGATTGGAGAGCAGCGTACTCGGCGTGTGGGCAGCCGAGTTAGGATTGGCGGAGGAGGACTATAAAGGAGGAGAGAGACGGCATGCACCAGGAACATCTATGGGGAACATCTAAGGGAACCCGTGCAGCCCCCGAGAAAGCCGGCCGGCGGTGTGCCGCTCCCCTGCGGAAGTGGGGAATGTGGCCAGGGGGAACTGCCCTTCCACGGAGGTGGAAGGGATAGTAGCCAACCCGGGAAGAACCAGCAGCAAACCCGGGGAGGGCCGAGCAGACGAAAGAACAGCGCAGGGTCTTGTGTCGTTCCTCCACGAAGAGGGGGAGCGACATAATGGTGCCGTGACTCGGATATGAAGCCTAGGCAGGGCTTAGTGTCGTTCCTCCACGAAGAGGGGGAGCGACAACTACCCACTCTGCCTGTCAAAAAAAAAAACAAAAAAAAAGAAAAAAAAGAAAGAAACATCTAGGTTAATCCACCTGCGGCACTGGCATCCCACATGGGCACCACGTCTAGTCCTGGCTGCTCCTCTTTCGATGCAGCTCTCTGCTATGGCCTGGGAAAGCAGTGGAGGAAGCCTCATGCACTTGGGCCCCTGCAACCTCATGGGAGACCTGGAAAATTCTCCTGGCTTCAGATCTAGCTCTGGCCATTGGGGCCATCTGGGGCGTGAGCCAGTGGATGGAAGACCTTTCTTTCTGTCTCTCCCTCTCTTTGTAACTCTGCCTCTGAAAGAAATAAATGCAATCTTAAAAAAAAAAAAGAGAGAGAGAGAGAGAGAGAGAGAGGCGGTTAGGTTGTGAAAGGTAGCTGAATGCCTTTGTCTGGAGGGCTGGTCCCTGGCTTGGCTCTCCCACTGGCACATGTGTGCCACTGGGCTCTTACTCCATGAGGTCAAACAGCGGGAGTAGCTTGCCAGGAGCTGCCGCCATGCCCTTGGACTTGCCAGCCTCCAGAACCAAGAGCCAAACACACAGCTTTTCTTTATAAATGACCCAGTCTCAGGTATTCTGGTGCAGCCACAGAAAGGGGACTCAGATATCTCTGAAGCAGGACAACTCACACTGGGCTGTTAGGTGAATGAGGAAGACACTTTCACTGTTGACCCTGAAATGTAGGGGGTTTGCTTGTTGCAGTGGCCAGCCTTACTCTGACTGGTGTTATTCCCAAAGGCTGCAGCCAGGCTGAACTGAAGACGCTCTAAGTGGGAAGAGGCACAGGCCAAGTTTCCACAACATCTGAGGGAGGCCAAGAGTCGAGGAGCTGAGATCTCTGGCCAAGTCATCAAGGGATGACTTCAAGAAGGAACTGGGTGTGCCTTGACAGGAGGAGGGGGTGGGACATCAGTTCAGGGAAAGACCCGAAGTGAGAAAACCAAGTGGGGGTGCCTGTGGCCTGGCTTTTGTGGTTGTCAGCCTCATGGAACATGGGTGGGTCTTCCTGCTTCAGAGGGGCCAGGGCAGGGTGGGCAGGAAGCACAGGTAGCCTGGGGGATGCTGCCAGGTGTCCAGCCAAGAGGATGAGTCGAATCCACAAACAGGAAACCAGTCATGGTGTCAGAACCTCCAAGGCTTGGGGACATGTTGGGATGTAGGACAGGAAACGGGTTAAGGCAAGCGGCTCGGGATGAATGACCGAGGTATTCTGGAGACCTCCTTCTCTGTGGAGTCTGTGCAGTGGGCCTGATAGGCAAAGAAAAGGAAAGTCGGGAGCTCGGGGGAGGGGCAGGAAGAGGATGGCGCTGGGGCAGGACACGTGCCCCATCCCAGGGGGCAGCGGCTGCCCAGACCCTGCTCTCCTCTGCCGTGCGGCTGTGTGGCTACGCGGCCCCAGTGCCTCTGGAGCTTCCCATTTTGCGAGAAAAGCAGGAAATCCAGATTTTTATGTTCACTCTCCTGAATTCTAAATGCTGGCAACTAACTCAAAATTTTCGCAAACACCCTGCAGGCCAAACACAACACATTTGCAGGCTGAGCGGGCCCACAAGCTGCCAACTCTTGGCTTCCTGCTTAAAGGAAACCGGCAGAACCCGGAGTGTGTGAAAAACAAAAACAAAGCCCGTGAACGTCGTCCACGGTCCCCCCTGCTTTCCAGCACACACAAGATATTCCTGGAAAAGGCATTTTGCAACTACTGCTAACAAAGACACGTTGGATTTGACCTTCAGAGAAGCTAAGGGCTCTGGGTGCTGGAGCTGCCCCTGGTGGTCCCCCAAACCCACGGCCGTCTCCTCAAAGCGGGGCCTCCAGCTTCATCGACAGGATCTCATTTTCTTGCCTCTCTCCATCAGGTGCGTCCGTTTTGAAATTTCCCTTCTTTTCTTTTCTGAAAGGCCATCAACTATCTCGACAGCTGGGTTTCCAGTAAAAGCCATCGCTTGGTGAAAGCAATTTAGAGAAACTGTGCTCGAGCCAAATGAGAGTTTGCCTAACTAAATTTTATGATAGGAAATGCTCCCAGGCCAAAACCCTCAAAAGCGATCAAAGATGTTCACAGACTGGATCCAACTAGTTCCGTTAATTAACCTTGGCCTGCATCTGGGCCAGGGGCATGGTCAGAGGATGTGGCCAACGTGGAATCTGGGTTTTTAAAAGGCGGTCTCTAACTGGGAATGTACTGACACTACTTGCTCACTTTTGGTGCCCCAACTTAGAACCTCACCTAAGGCTCTGCCCCGCCCCACCCTCCTGGCGGCCCAGGACTGAGATGTTCCAGGGATGTGGGACTGTGGGTGCTGGAACAGAGTTGGTCACTCTATGTCTCAGGTTCTTTTCTCAGTGTTCATGCTATGAGGCTTTGACACTCCTTGACTGTTCATTTAAAAAAAATAATAATAAAATGTGAAACAAAATAAGACAAAAAGCCCTCCAACCTGGATTAGGCCTTGTGGTACAGTGGGTTAACTCCTAGCCTGAGATGCCCATACCCTACATCAGAACGTCAGTTCAAGTCCCTGTTACTCTGCATTCCCACTCCAGTTTCCTGCTAACGCACCTGTCTGGCCCATATATTTGGGAGGGAGACTTCTATAGGGCTCCCGGCTCCTGGCTTCAGCCTGGCCCATCCCTGGTTTTTGCAGGCATTTGGAAGTGAAACAGAAGATGGAAGATACTCTCTCTCTCTCTCTCTCTCTCTCTCTCCCGGTCACTCTGCCTTTCAAATAAATTTTAAAAAAATTTTAAGGCTCCCCATCTGAACTGCAATAGTGCTGAGCTCTCCTGGGTTTCTCTCCAGTTATCTAATTGTTCTTTCTCATCTTTGCTACTTTCTGTTCCTCCTCCTCCTCCTCTCTGAATTGTACCTCAAGGTCCAGCCCTTGGAGGACTACTTTCTACCCATCTCAGTGGACTCACCTTGACGTGAAAGGCTTCCACATTTAGTTCTTGAGCTTGCCGTCCCGTCTAAGTTCCAGCCCTCCTGCTCCTACAGCTCTGTGAACATTTTCTACTGGGATATCCTGATCATCTCATGCCCTGAGCCGTTGTCTTCCAAACCAGCCCGGCTCTCACTCACTCTGTGTCCTTGCCCATGAGAGGCAGATCATCTTTTCAAGCCTTTCTCAAAATCCTAGACTAGGTCCGGCGCCACGGCTCACTAGGCTAATCCTCTGCCTTGCGGCGCCGGCACACCGGGTTCTAGTCCTGCTCGGGGCGCCGGATTCTGTCCCGGTTGCCCCTCTTCCAGGCCAGCTCTCTGCTGTGGCCAGGGAGTGCAGTGGAGGATGGCCCAAGTGCTTGGGCCCTGCACCCCATGGGAGACCAGGATAAACACCTGGCTCCTGCCTTCGGATCAACGCGGTGTGCCAGCTGCGCCGGCCATTGGAGGGTGAACCAACGGCAAAGGAAGACCTTTCTCTCTGTCTCTCTCTTACTGTCCACTCTGCCTGTCAAAAAAAAAAAAAAAACAAAACCTAGACTAATCCCAAAATCCCAAATTAGTCTCCACACACTACGTGCATATTCACAGCGGCTACCAAATAGCTGTCACATGGGTCAGGCTCAGCAAATGCTTGTGGAATCAACTCAGATCTCTGGGAAGGATCCAGAGGACAAGGATATCCAAGCGGGAAGTAGGTGTTGTGACTTAACGGTTGGGACGCCTACATCCCATATCTGGAGCACCTGGGTTTGAATCCCAGCTCCACCTCCAACTCCAGCTTCCTGCTGATGTGCTTTGTGAGAGGCAGCTGGGGATGTCTAGGTGGCTGAGTGTCTGACACTCACGTGGGAGAGCTAGATTGAGTTCTGGGCGCCTGGCTTCGGTCTGGTCCAGACCTGGCCGTTGTGGGTCTTTGCGGAGTCAGCCAATGGATGGAAGATCTCCCTCTCTGGCTTTGCATTTCTGTCTGACTTTCAAATAAAGAAAAGTAATAAATTTTAAAAAGATGTCTCAAGGTTTTCAGGGAGAAGCAAAGCAAAAATCTGGCAAATGTTACTACTGCAGGCATAGTTAATTAAAATCTTCACTGATGCAACTTCAACCATAGACATATAACCTTTTGTTAATTAAGTGAACCAGAGCATTGGTGAATTCTTGGTTCACTTGGTATTGTCTCTCTAGTGTGGTCAAAGCTGCTTGCAAGACTCCACACAATTATAAACCTTAACCTGACAAATATAGATTTCCACTCTTTTGCTTTATTTTGCTGGATTCCTGCCAAGAGTCTGTCTCTAGTCACCCAGTGCTCAGAATCGGAATAAAGCTGGTAGCCAGAATCTAGATTTTTCTCCTTCTACCCTCTTGACCTTTATTTATTTATTTATTCAAAAGTCATAGTTACACAGAGAGAGGAGAAGCAGAGAGAGAGAGAGAGAGAGAGAGAGAAAGGTCTTCCATTCACTCCCCAACTGGCCACGATGGATGGAACTGCACTGATCCGAAGCCAGGAGCCAGGAGCTTCTGCTGGGTCTCCCACACAGGTGCAGGGGCCCAAGGACTTGGGCCATCTTCTACTGCATTCCCAGGCCACAGCAGAGAGCTGGATTGGAAGTGGAGCAGCCGGGTCTCAAACCGGTGCCCGTATGGGATGCGAGTGTTTCAGGTCAGGGTGTTAACCCGCTGCGCCACAGCACTGGCCCCACACTTCTCCATATTCCTTTTTATTTTATTTTATTTTTTTCTTAAAAAAAAGAAAGTGGAGCCAGCTCTATGGTGCAGTGTTAAGCAGCTGCTTGTGATGCCAGCATCCCATATTGGAGGGTCAGTTCAGGTCCCAGCTGCTCCACTTCCAGTCTAGCTCCCCGCTCATGCACCTGGGAAGGTAGTGGAAAATGGCTCCAGGCTTGAGCTCCTGCCATCTATGTGGGAGACCCATATGAATTCCTGGCTTCAACCTGGTCCAGTCCTGGCTATTGTGGGCATTTGGGAAGTGAACCAGTAGATGAAGGATCTCTTTCTCTCTGTGTCTCCTCTCTCTCTGTCACTGTGCCTTTCAAATCAATACATAAATCTTTTTTTTCCAGAAAGTACTTATTAGCTGGACCAGCACTGTGGCATAGCAAGGTAAAGCTGTCACTTGCAGTGCCAACATCCCACATGGGCACTGGTTTGAGTCCCAGCTGCTCCAGTTCCAATCTAGCTCCCTGCTAACGGCCTGGAAAAGCCGTGAAGTTTGGCCCAAGTGCTTGGGCCCCTGCCACCCACGTGGGAGAACTGGAAGAAGCTCTTGGCTCCTGGCTTCAGCCTGGCCCAGTGATCGCTGTTGCAGCCATGTGGGGGGTGAACCAAGTGACTGAAATCTCTCTCCCTCTCTGTTTCTCCCTCTCTGTAACTCTGCTTTTCAAGCAAAATAATAATAATAATCTTTTTAAAAATGAGAAATACTTATTAGAGCTTGCTTTAACAGTATTTTTCTAAATAGAGCTAATACCATGTTTTTGGTGGAGCCATCAGTTTGGAGACATTACTCTTGCTCTTTAGGAAAATCCTTCTCCCAGAGGGATCTCCCTTTGCTGAGATCCCCAGGACCCCTCTTATTTGCATCTATAAAGCACAGGGCACACCTTTCACCAGATCTTTTCCAACCTGGGCAGCGCTGGCATTTGGGATTGATGAGAGGCATGGATAGTTCTTTGTCAGGGTGGGGTGAGGTGGGGGGGCTGTGTGCTGTCCTGTGCAGTGCAGTATTTCCACCGCACCCCAGGCCTCCACCCACCGGGCCCCAGTAAGCACACACACACCCCTGGCTGTGACAACCAGCAGGTCAGTAGAGGTTGTCAAACAGATCCTGGGGGATGAACTGCCTGTGGCTGGCTGTCACTGTGTACTTGCTCGTTTACTCAGAAACAAACACGGACCTGGGCGAGTAGATTGCACGTGTTCTTAGAGTCTCCCCAGCCATCACCCCAGAGTATCTCCAGGCACGGCTCAAGGTTACCCCGGACAGGCCTATCAGTCACGGAGGTTCTGATTGGACCCATTATCTTAGCTGAGCAAGCTCTCTTGGGAAGATCACCCTGCACCCAGGAGGGACTGTGTGGAGGGGGTGCTGGAGAGGTCAGGTCTGCTGCGAGCCCAGGAGCCCCTCGCATGGGTGGCCTGAGTCAGCAGGACTGTGCTGAGCCTCGGGGGATTTCCACGGGGAACTGTGTGGACAAAATTCCCCCTGGATGGTGGTCTAGACAGGGCTCACCCTTCCCTCTGCTCACCAGGAGCTTCTGCTTCCCCTTTAGGAAGAGGAAACAGCCTGCCTGTTTATTTTGGGGCTGAGGATCTGTCGTGGACAAGCCCCGGGACGGGCGGCAGGATGCGAGTGTGTGGACTTTGTGGGAAACACACAGCGCTGTGACAGCCTTTCTCCCACCAGCAGCCTGGGGCACAGGTGTGCCCTGAGAGCAATGAGGCCAAGAAAGGAGGGAAGACGCCTGGGATTAGGTCCAGGGAATCAGAAGTTGTGATTTAAAAGCAGATTCGAATTCTTGTTCCTTTTCCCTATCTTAAAAACAACCTGTTTGTTAAAAATATATAATTCAGAAAAACTGCAAAATACAATGAAGCAAAAATAAAGGGGACAGGCACAGACCCCTTGCAGCTGCTGGTAGCTGTCATTGAAGAGCCTTGCCTGCTCAAACCTGCGAAGAGCTGGGCTCTGGGCTCCTTCTAGACGTTCTATCATATCATCTTTTCTACTTAAAAACATTCTTCCTGGGGCAGGTGGTGGGCCGAGCAGTGAGATGACTGTATCCCATAATGGATGGCCTTGGTTTGAGTCTGGGCTCATCCTCAGATACAGAGCTTCCTGTTAACGAAGACCCTGGGAGGCAGAAGGGAACGGCTCAAGTGGTTGGGCTC